GAATAGGTATAAATTACATGTTGTGTTTCCAGGGTAAACACAAAAGAATAAATGGAATGCATAACTAACAAGCTAAGAGAAAAATGGGATACTAAAAAATATCCAGTCAATTCCAAACACATGTACCCCATAAATTTTTTGAAATAAAAAAACCCTAAGAATAGAAGGAACACTGAACAGGCAGAAGAAATGGACAACAAATATTAAGACAATAGATTGAAACCCAAATTTATCAAAAATGTCATTGATGTTAATAGACAAACTATTACACAAATGGCATGGATTATTAGTGACTTTTAAGAAACTATATGCTTATGTTAGATATACATTTTAAATATAATGATTTATAAATTTTGTACATAAAGGATGAAAAATATATATCACTTAAACACTAATTGGAAGAAAGTTGGTACAGCTATATGTACATTGGTAAAAGTAGATTTCAAGTAGCATGAGTCTTCTAATTTTGTTCTTTTTCAAAGTTGTTTTGTCTAGTCTAGCTAGGTCTTTTGCATTTCCACATAAATTTTTTGCCTGGCCTGTACTTATTGCTATACATTTCCCTCTATTACAAGTTTAGGCAGAATTGATTTTGTGAATGGTATGCAGTTAAGTGTAAGTTTTTCTTTTTTTTACCCATATGGATAACTGAGCCAGAAACATTATTAAAAAGACCATTTTTCTCCCCTGTTCGAGTGCCACGTTTGTCACAAGTGTCTACAGGTAATTGTCAGTTTCTGGATTCTCTTTTACCATTGGTCTCTTTGACTACCCAAGTGCAACAGTCCTTGTCTTAACGACCATTGTTTTATGGAAGTCTTACTCTGGCAAATTTTCTAAACTTGTTCTTCAAAAGGGTCTTAGCTATTCTTGCCCTGGAGCATTTCCATATATAATTTTAGAACCAAATTGTAAGTTTAAAAAAAGTTTATTGAGGTATTGATATGAAGTGTGTTGCATATTTAGAAAACTGATCTAACATTCTTGAGGAATGTTGAAGGATATGACTAATTATATGTGTTAGATACACCATTAGGGGCAACTATATGATGTTCTGATAAAGAATTATGGAGAACAGAGCATCAGAATAAGCCTGATATAGAATTATATAAAAAAAGACATCAGAGTAAGCTCAATATAACTACTGAGGAAAACTGAATATCTGCCATTTACTAATAGAGGGCTGATCTATAACAACTGTAGCTTTAATTCCACATAAATAGTGCTAAAAATCCACTAGAGTTTTGTAGCTAGGTGTTAGCCAGCTGGCACATGGTATTTTTGTGCATAACCCTGTATTTATGAACAGGCTTGTTCCCCTGGGTTTCAATTTCTTTTTCCACTCCCAACAATATAGAAATCACTTTAGGAGGGGTTGACGTATTTAATATTGAGTTTCTATATCCTTGACAGGTGGGCCCTCTCCCCTACAGAGGCTCTCACCCAGAGGAGCCCTGCCTTTTCACAACATACAGTTCAGCCATGCAGGAAGGGGATCAGGTAGTTAGGAAATATAAAGGAATCAAGCAGATACTGTGTTCACCCCACAGATGCCCTTATCCTTGCCAAGTACGCTCTCCTGCAGGGCACCTCCAGGAGTGTTCATCTAAAGTTGATCACGGAAGAGTAAGTGGAGCCACAGAAAATAGGGGAGGAGACATATTAGAGACCTCAAGTTCTCAAGTCTATGCAGGTATGACTTCTCACCCCCAAGAGTTTTCCTCTGAAACTGTCCTCAGTTCCCAGAGAAAACAGTTGGGGCTGCAGGACAGGGGTCAGAAAGGAGTGAAGAGACATTAGGCAGGGTCTTTATGTGCAATCACCACAGTTTGTATAAGTGTATGTAAACAAATTGAAAGTACTAAAAAAAGTCATTTTAACATAGCAAAAATAAGACCACCTGGGTCAGAGATAGTAAAATGGGCCAGAGAAGTGAGTAATCAAAAGCAGAGTGTCCAGAGGGCAAAGCAAGTTCAGATGTGGCTTTTACACATTAGTCTTAGCGTCCATTTATGAGAGGATAGAGGAAAGATAAAAAAGAATTAATGTTATCTTAACATAGAACACGTGCTTTACATTGTACTTTTATTTCTGATAAGAAAAAATATTCAGATGATTTAAGTAGGCTTGCCTGACATCACATAATCTGTGAATTGTTGAACCAGGATTAAAACTCTAGACTATCTGTCTTCACTACCAAAGTCTTTCTACCACAAGTTCCCAGTCGGGGAAAATAAAGGCAGACCTGGTCAAAACATATGAATGTCAAGTTCTGGGGTTCTTTCAGAGATGGAGGTCAACTTATATGCTTGAGATGGGAAAATGTATATACATCAAATTTATTGAATCTGATCAATCCCTCTTTCCATCTTTGTACAAGAATTTTACATGTAGCTTTAGGAGTCATGCTCAAGCCTCTTCTTAAATTACAATTTCTAGGAATTGATGTTTTATTATGTTTTTTACTCCAGCTTTCTTGCATGTCTTTTATAGAACATTACTTTATGTCCATAATTATGCCCAGCTAATATCAGTAACTTCACATCTGATTATCGTTATGTGGTATAATAAGGAATATGTAACATGACAATATTCTGTATACATAACTTGTTCTACTGATCATTCAATTCATAACTTTAAAAGCTTTACATGCCATGTTAAAATGTCTTTCACTTATATAATTATTTTCCATCATCTTTTCTGAAAAAGTTAGGCAGTACCACACCAAAAACATAAAATCCCTTGCTAAATTTGATCTATAGAGCAGTTGTCCCCAAGTTTATCAAATTAATTAGGTTTCTAGTAATTATTAAGGCTTGAGCTAATACTGAAGGATTTTCTGTGGCCAGTTCATTACACTTTTACCACTGCATGAATTCTCTGGTGTACAGTGAGTTGTGACTTCTGGATGAAGGCTTTCCCACATACAGCACATTGATAGGGTCTTTCCCCAGTATGAATTCTCTGATGTAAAACAAGGTCTGACTTCTGGGAAAAGGCCTTTCCACATTCAAGACATATATAAGGTTTCTCTCCTGTATGAATTCGCTGATGTCCTGGGAGGTGGGACTTCTGAGAGAAGGCTTTCCCACATTCAGTACATATATAAGGTTTTTCTCCTGTGTGAATTCTCTGATGTCCAATGAGATGTGATTTCTGACAGAAGGCTTTTCCACATTCATTGCATTTATAGGGTTTCTCTCCAGTGTGTGTTCTCTGATGTATGATGAGCTGTGACTTCCGGGAGAACGTCTTCCCACATTCAGTACATTCATAGGGCTTTTCCCCAGTATGAATTAACTGATGTGTAATGAGTTCTGTCTTCCTGCTGAAGGCTTCTTCACACTGAGCACATTTGTAGGGTTTCTCACCAGTGTGAATTCTTTTATGTATAATGAGGTGGGACTTCTCACAGAAGGCTTTCCCACATTCAGTACACTCATATGGCTTCTCTCCAGTATGAGCTCTATGATGTATAATAAGTTGTGACTTCTGAGAGAAGGCCTTCCCACACTCTCTACATTCATAGGGTTTTTCCCCAGTATGTATTCTCTGATGTATAATGAGGGGTGATTTCTGAGAGAAGGCTTTCCCACATTCGCTACATTCATATGGTTTTTCCCCAGTGTGAACTCTCTGATGTATAATGAGGGATGATTTCTGAGAGAAGGCTTTTCCACATTCGGAACAATCATAAGGTTTCTCCCCGGTATGAGTTCTCTGATGTACAACGAGATGAAACTTCTCACTGAAGGCTTTTCCACACGCACCACAATCATATGGTTTCTTTCCAGTATGAATTCTTTGATGTACAATGAGCTGTGATTTCTTAGCAAAGGCTTTTCCACATGTAATACACACACAGGTTTTCTCCCTAGTTTCAACATTCTGATATTGAATAAGGGATTGTTTATTGCTAAAAATGTTTCCACACTGATAATCATCACAGGGTATTAATCCATTGTGAATCTTTTGAAGATCAGAATTGGATTCACTGTGGCTAGATGATTTTTCACATCCAAAACTCTGATCAAGGTTTTTTCTTGAATTGCTCTTATTATAACTAGGCAGGTCAATATTCGGTTTTAAGTTCCTTTTAAAAGCATCATATTTATGGAGCCTTTGTCTTGATGTATCTGGCTCTGTTTTTCCCAATGCGTTATACTTATGGCCTGATGCCTCAGTTACTGTTTTGCTGCTGACAAATGTGACTTGCCTGAAAAGTTTGTCTTGATTTTCCTTATATTTCTGAAGCTGGCCATCACCTTGACAGACTTTCAAAATCGAGTAAAATGAACTGTCCTTTGTGACTCCTTTCAGTATCTTATTATGGAAGGAAACAGCACCCAAAATATATGACTGGGAGTTGTGAAGATTACTCCTCCTACCTAAAAGAAGAAGAGATAAAAATCAAAGAGTCATCACAAGAGTCAATTAACAGAGGGAAGAGAAGTGGAACAAATGGATGATCCAACATAGTTGATAAACTCAGAAAACAGGGATAGAAACAGGCCATCTTAGAAGACAGTACAACAGACAGTGTTATTAGGTGAATAGGTAGACAAGGATGTGAAACAGAAATGGTCATGTAAGGATTAAACCTGAAGGAGATAGAAAAGTGTCTGAGTTCTTATCATTCTAATCTTGAATTACTCCTAGAATCTTCCATTTCTCCTACTTTCTGAATAGAAACTCTTTTCACCTTATGAATTCATTTATCTTATAAAACATTTGCTATATATACTTAACTATTATCCTGCCCCCACTCCACAGAAACAAGGTCTGTTCTGTACTCAGAATACTTTAACTCTTCTCACTCTATTTTCCTAATTAACAACTAACATAAATAACATAAAAATCCAAAATCCTGCTATGGATTCAGTATCAGAATCACACCAAGAATACATGCTTAAATTCCATTATTCCCAATAAACTACCTTTTATATGTGTAAGTAAAACCAGCAAAATTCTGCCAGAAAAGCCATATCTTCCTGACTGTAAGGTTTTGTTTATACATTCTCTCTCTTTCATACTGTTTGCTTGACTTCACCCTCTTTGTTCAACCTCACCAGTGCTTATGTCATTCAGAGCAGCTATAGCTGCATGCTCTGAAAAATGCCTTCTCAGTTTCTGCCACATTTCTTTAGACTGTAATTTTCTGTGAACTTTTGAAACAGTAACTGTATTTGACATTTAATTATATACATGTATCTGGGCATCTTACCTCCTAAAATAAAACCTATGTTCTTGGAAGGACTTTGCCTTCTACTGTCTTTAAAACCCTTTCATAAAAAAAAAAAAATCACTAAAAATATACATATATATGAGAGAGAGAGAGAGAGAGAAAGAGAAAGAGGATCAACAAGAAACAGCACTCCTCTGAAAAAGCTCACAATTATTTTCAATTATTTGTTGAATGCCTACCAAATGTCTGCAACAATTATTTGTTGAATATCTACTAAATTCTCAGCACAGGAGCAGATAATAATAGATTTCAATAAGGATAAAAACATGAGCCTCAGGCACCAATCAACTAAAAAAACAAAACACACAAACTGATTATTTCACTTCCCTTGTCTCCCATCTGCCTGATTTTCATCTGGATAGATCCAATTTGATATGTCTCTCTTTATGATCCATGGATCTTCTCCTTGTTCCAACTTGGAGATGACATCCGGTTTGGAAACTGGATACCCTATTCAAGGGAATCATAGAGAAATTGGGATTGACTGCACTGAAGGAATAAAGGCAGGTGCAGTTTCAGGTGGTCTACAATGAAGTTGTTCATTTAGCCCTTGGCAAAGTAATGACCTCCACTTAGGAGGGTACAAAAGTCATAAAAGTCATTACATATGTCAGGAACCACCTGATCACAGCAACTGATAAGGAAAGGCACTTGATTGGACAACTCTGAGTAATGTGGGAAATGATTCTTACCCATTGAGACCAGGTGGCTGTAGTTTTCCAGCATCACATCCCTGTACAGGGTCCTCTGAGCAGGGTCCAGTTGCTGCCACTCGTCCTGGGTGAAATCCACAGCCACATCCTTGAATGATACTAACCCCTGTAACAGTACATTCCTGTTCAATCTGAAGTGATCATTCTCATCATTTCTGCTATGATATGCAAAACTATATCCACATCTAGTTTTGTATCATAGTTTTTGGGAAAAACAATGTAAAATCCTGTCTTTGGCAAGAAGAGCCAAACAGATAAGAAGAGGTAAACCATAAAATGCCTACCTGATACATATGGTAATTTTATAAATTATAATGGCAGCACCCAAATAACTGGAAGGAATATGAATTATTGATGAATAATCTTGAAACAGTCAGATAGTCAACAGGAAAGGAATAATGCTGAAGCCACGTGTTATGAGTTGAATTGTATGTCCTGAAAATTTATATAAATCCTAACCTCCTATACCTCAGAATGTGATACAACTTGGAAATAGGGTCATTGAAGATATACTAGTTATGTGAGGTTGTTAGGGTAGACCCTAATCCAATATGATTGGTATCCTTATCAAAAGGGGAAATTTGAACAGAAACACAGACACTCATAGAGGGAAGATGATGTGAAGAGACTTAAGAAGAAAATGGCTATCAAAAAGCCAAGGAGAGAGGCCTGCAACAGATCCCTCCCTCACAGCCCTCAGAAAGACCCAACCCTACAGACACCTTGATTTTGAACTTCTAGCCCCCAGAACTATGAGACAATAAATTTATGTTGTTTAAGCCACCTAGTTTGTAGAAGTTTTTATGGCAGCCCTAGAAAATCAATATACCATATATTATACCTCAGAAGAAAGAATAA